TCATTGTATGTGGCCATAAAACAACTTACTTCATGGACTCATCACTGTTTAGGATGCCCGCTGTTCAGAAGCGGGATGTTTGTCTGCAATGAAATAAGCTGTTCTAAAATCATTTTGACATGAATTGTTTGTGATACAAACCATATGAAAGCTCTAAAAAATAAATGATACAGTGAGGGTAAAAAAAAATACCATGTATGCAGGCAGGCCTATACATGTACCTTCCTCATACAATGGCCAAAATATCTCAAAGATCATTAATAAATGGGAACTAATTAGATAGAGATACAGCAATGAGTGCCAGCTAACAGACTAGCAATGTGCTCTCAGTGCACCACTCATTACAATACCTTTTTCCTCCTGGGAAATTCAAAGTGTTATGCCCCAAGCACAGCTGTGTGTCCTGTTTTTAATCTAAGCTTCTGGTTCAGCTAAACACCACCCATTAAACTCCCATTTTCTGCACTGGACTCACACACTTTCCGGATCAAGCCCTGTGTCTCAAGCACAAAATAGATTGAGGTCAGCAATACGTCTATATACAGTGCTGCAGGAGAGCACAGATCACCTCATGCTGGTTTAGTCTATTACTATTACTTTTAAGAGCTGAATTACACAGGTCTCATAAGTGTCCTAGATTTTTAATGGACGTAGGTTTAAATGCACATTTAACAAACACGTACTAAAAAATATGCGCTTCCTATCACAGAATATCTGCTGGGACTATTAACAGGGGTGCTGCGGCTACCAGGGAGCCCCAGAAGAAATTCTTCAATAATGCAATGCAGTATGGCAATATTTCTTTGCAAATGTAAATCAGTCTATGGAATTTAGCAGGGAAATGACATATGTGCTTTAAAACCTCATAGGACCGTTAATTAAAAAGAAATCAATTACAGCAAAGATCAGTGTTAAATGCACAGGGCTGTAGAGTTATTCATTTAGATTCCTGGAAGTTTTGTCTCTAAACAAGTCTATAAAAATTACAGGCCTCAAAAGAACCTGAAAGGTTATCTAAACCATGTCCCCACACAAAAGCAGATCAGCTCTCCTTTTACCCTTCTGAATCCATTTCAGTGTCATCAGAAGGGAATTTTCTACCTTGGATTTCTGCCAAACAGAACTGAGCTGACACCACGTGTCCATTTCTTATAATAAGCCAAGGCCAATACTACATAGGCCAGATTTGATATGGTTAAGCAAAAAATAGTTTTCAGGATGAATTCAGCAGCGGATGTAAACACAGTCTACTTTTGCAAAGAGTGCTGCTGTGACACAGCCTCCTCCCCTGCACACGTAAAACAGAGCATCCATCGAGAGTACTAGCTGAGAGATGTAGTCTCCTTTCCTACTATAATCCACTCCTGACATGTAGTCGAGCAAAGGGGGCAGGAGACCTGCATGGATGAACAAGGGCCTCCCAACAAAACTCAAACATAAGCGGGAGGTGTATAGGAGGTGCAAGCAGGGACAGGCCACTTGGGGTGAATATAGGGACGTTGTCAGAGTATGCAGAAATGCGACAAAGAAGGCCAAGGCCCATTTGGAATTAAATCTGGCAAGGGATGTCAAGGACAACAAGAAGGGCTTCTTCAAATACATCATTACAAAAGGGAGACTAGGGAAAATGTGGGCCCACTACTGAATGGGGCAGGGACCTTGGTGACAGAGGACAGAGAGAAGGCAGAGATACGGAATGCCTTCTTTGCTTCAGTTTTCACTGCTAAAGCTAGCCCCTCAGGAATCCCAGGCCCTGGAAACCAGGGAGAAAGTCTGGAGAAAGGAAGACTTTCCCTTGGTGGAGGAGGATCAGCTTAGAGATCATTTGGGCAAACTTGACACCCACAAGTCCATGGGCCCTGATGGGATGCACCCACGAGTGCTGAGGGAGGACATCATTACTAGGCCACTCTCGATCATCTTTGAAAGGTCATGGCGATCAGGAGAGGTGCCTGAGGACTGGAAGAAAGCCAATGTCACCCCAGTCTTCAAAAAGGGCAAGGAGGAGGACCCAGGGAACTACAGGCCTGTCAGCCTCACCTCCATCCCTGGAAAGGTGATGGAACAGCTCATCCTGGAGGCCATCTCTAAGCATCTGGAGGACAAGAACGTGATCAGGAGTAGTCAGCATGGATTCACCAAGGGGAAATCATGCTTGACCAATCTGATAGCCTTCTATGATGGGACAATTGTCTACCTGGACCTCAGCAAGGGTGTAGACGGTGTCTCCCATCGCATCCTCATGGGCAAGCTCAGGAAGGGAGGGCTGGAGAAGCAGCGAAGCAGAAGCAAACGGTGAGGTGGATTGAAAACTGGCTGAGTGGCAGAGCTCAGAGGGTTGTGGTCAGCAGCACAGTCTAGTTGGAGGCCTGTAGCTAGTGGTGTACCCCAGGGGTCACTACTGGGTCCACTATTGTTCAATGTATTCATCAGTGACCTGGATGAAGGGGCAGAGTGCCTCCTCAGCAAGTTTGCTGATGATACAAAACTA